CAGTGCAATTGAAACTTAGTGGCTCAATGAGCAGAAGTCGGTTTTTTGTGGAAGGACCACACTCAAGGGGCCAAAGAGCCGCATGTGGCTTGCAAGCCGCAGTTTGCCGACCACTGGCCCAGAGTAAGCTTTGAGCCTGATTTTTTTTGTCGGTACTAACTCAGGGGATCCTAGCATTTAACCCCAAACTGGAGACCTATGGAAAGGGTAAAAAAGATCGCAGCCCGGTGAGAAAATGCCCCCACTTCTGCAGCTGCGGAAAATCAGGCGCCACTCTGCATCCTGAAACGGCCCACGGGTGTTCCTAACTCAGGGGGCTCACGGACACCGGATGGCGGGCTGGTGAGGGGCAGGCTGACCTCTAAACCCCACAGTCAGCCTGGTTGTCCAACTTAAAAATTATCGCTCCACTAATTACACTTAGTACCTATGATTCCTGAGATGTATTTTGTTGCAGGATGACTGGCTCTTTCTTTCTCACGTCCATGCAGAAAAATAACAACAATAAAACCCAGAATCCACATGTAAACAGCACACTTGAGAATCTACGTCTCATTTAAATGAATTGTCCGACCAAGACATCTGACCCCAAAAGCAGAGATGGGGCTGCAGGGGGAAGAGGATCTGAAACTCACTGCAGGCGTTTTGGGGCTCGGGGGGCATCATGGGCAGGTCCCCCTCTTCTGCTTTCTTCTCTTTGGCCCCTTCCAGCTCTGGGAGGTTTTCTGTTGGGGTCTCTGCTTCTGAGGACACACAGGAAGCGAGAAGGCAAAAAGTCACTTTGACCCCCAAGGACATTTCACCTCCCAAGACGTTCTGCCCCTTTATTCTTTGAGCCAATCAAGTGTCTGTAAAGTAAGCATGTCAAACTCGCGGCCCACGGGCCGCATGCCTCGTTTACTTGGCCCGTGTTAGCCTTTGAGTTTGACATCTTGCTGTAAAGGGACGGGAGGTGGGGACCCCCAAGAGAAGCCAATCCCGTGTTCACCTGTGCAGCTGAGCAAGGCCAGCCTTTTCTTACAAATAATTATTTTAGAACCACATAATAGGAGTTGCATGTGATAACTCGTTACAGATTATAATAAAAAAAATTAAACTGAAAAAAATCATATCAGGGAAACAAAGTTGTATAAACTTGGGAAAAATTTATCTTAGTAGAAAAAGCCACCCACCCCCACATCCCCAGACACTGATAATTAATTCATAGTAAAATTCAGTACTGACTAAAAATTGCCAACAGGAAATGAACGCTCCCCCGGGAGAGATGAGCTTAATAAAGACCTTTTATTGAACAAACAAACCGACAGTGGCAAAGGCTGCAGCTGGGCTAATCTCAGGCCCCAAAGGATCGATCGATCGATCGATCAGATCTTTATCACTGCAGCTCCCTCATCACCAAGATGCAGGAACTCACAGGGACACAGCAGGATACCTGACACTTTCAACGGAAACTGGGGACTTGTGCTCCACACTGATGAACTACTACGTCAAGGTATTTTAGTTTTCAGTATCGGGTCACGTTCCTTGCAGTTTCTGATGTTACATTTTTTGCAAAGCTGGTTTTCACTAGTTGCTGTGATAAAAAACCAAGCACTGCACAGATCAGCATGGGGCAGGAAACAGGAAATGAGGGTGGCAGTTTGCAACTGGATTCCAGTCTGAGAAGCGGTGCAGCGCCCAGGAGACATCCTATTATAAACCACTGTGACTACTTAAGAATAAAATAGAAACGTTAATTTTCCTCTCCACGTATGTGTGTTATTTTCCTCAAGTGCCGGAGCTCCTAGAACATAAACAATGATTTGGATATCCACTACTTAACACCTTTCGTACCGCTCAGGAGTCTTCTCCTGTTTCGAGCGCCATCTGTTAAGGACTGCTCACGAGTGTTCTCGTTTTTCACGCCCATGGAAAAAGGAGCGAATCTAGATACTTATGTAAATTTTGTTTGGTCCTTCTTCATAGAGGAAAATGTTTTACGCAGTACCATACGTTAAAAAAGTACTAGGAACTTTAATTGTTTGTTTTTGCAAATAAAAATGTTATAATTATTGAAAAACAACACCTAAAGTGCATCATGATGATTTAAATAACGTGCAGTTTGCCCAAAAACGTGCGGTGCCTGGCGTCTGTCTTAGAGATTTCTATGCGGTACGCAATGTGTTAACAAACAGGACTGGTCTGGTACTGGCCGAGGGCACCATGAAAAAATGACAGACACCGCGGGGTCTGGGGAAACGTGGGAGCCTCTGCTTCCTGGTGAAATTTACAAGGGAAAAGGGGACCATTTAGAGGAACGTATTTCCAAAAAGTAACGATAAAAAGTGAGAAACTGTGTATGGAAACTAAACTGAGACAGCCAAGTGACTATATTCCAAAATGCTCTCCTAATAAAACCCCATATTGGTGTGTGGGGTCTGACAGACGTATTTAGATTCATGGACACAGGCATCCAATCAGTGGGGTCCTAACACCTTGTCCTCTCAGCTCGGCCACGCCCTTCCAGATTTCCCTCTGTGCACAGTCAGACACACAGACAGACAGACACGTGCACACACACACCCCTCCTCCCGGTGCCTCACCTTCCTCCACCTTCTTCCTCTTGACTTCTTGGCCCTTGTCCGTGCTGTGCTCTTCTAGGACATCCTGAATCTTCCGTTTAGAAAACTGCTTTCGAGCTGGGAAGGCAAAGGCTGAGGTGTGGCTGACTCGCTGGCCAATCTGCCCCGCCCCGGAGAACTCGGCACCACGCCCACCCCGACCCCCTTATGATGGGGCTCCTGAAAAGGCTCTGGGTCCCCCCCTCTCCTCCTGCCCACAGCTACTGCCCAGTGCGAGCCTTGTCCCTGGAGCTCACGCTGCCTCCTGGCTGTATGATGGTGAGCCGTTACTTAATCTCTCTGGGCCTCTCTCCCACATCCGCAGAATGGAAATAATCCCAAAAAGCAAGCAAGGGTGCAACGGGCTCAGCCCAGGCCCAGCTGCAGCCAACGCGCTCCGTGCCCTGCATCCCCAGGAGCTGACCATCTCCGTGTGTCCTGGACACATTTTCCAGGACCTCAGAAGCCCGATGCACCAGGAATCAACAGACCCTGGGAGTTCCCTCACTCAAAGACTAACGGTGCTGGTGGATAAGCACCCAGCTCCTGGCACTTCCGGCAGATCATTCTGCACACATTTAGGCCAATTCCCAGCGCTTCCCCAGGACATGAAGCTCCAGCGCCCCTGGGGGCGGGGGGGGGCCCGACCTAAGAACACATCTTTTATGGGCCGACTCCCCTTCCCTGAATCACTGTCTGTCTTCTCTGCACCTCCCACCTCCTCAAGAAATGGTCTGCATTGAATCCTTGTCAGAGTTTCAGAGCCTGTTTCTAGAAGATGCCAAATTGAGATCACATGGTGAGGAAAAGGCAGCTGTAATGATTTTCATCAATTCTCACCTTCTCCCTGGTCTCTGGGCTCCTTCCCATGACCCCAGAGGGACCTATACAGCTGTGGTGGAAACGGTCCCTGCCCTGCTCAAAAGCTTCCCACATTCCCCGCCCCCCACTCCAGGACAAAGCCTTTTAGTGTCCACTCTGTCCTCCCATCCTCCCTAACTTCTCTCCACCTGACCCTCTAACTCCCACGCCACACAACCCACTTTCTTTACCAACATCACTGAATGGCTGTCATTCCCAAATACTCCGCAGTCACCTCTGGGCTTTTGCACGTGTTGTTGAGCTAGTGGCCCAGCCCTTTTCAACAAAGCTCAGATGTCACTTCTTCTAAAATGAATCCCTGACACACCCCGAGCCAATGTTGGTGTCAGCCCCGAGCCACTCAGTTATTTTGTTAGGACCACCTCTCCCGCAGGCCTGACCAGCCCTTCCAGCTCGCAGTGCCCCCATGGCTCCCCAGCACCGCAGGCTAAAGCCCGGCTCCCTAGCCTCACGTGCAGGGCCCTCGGGGAGCCAGCCCCCACTCTCCTCCTCAGCTCATCCCTCCCCACTCGTCCTCAGACTCTCCCTGCTCTCCAAATTGCACTGTATTCTCCAGAAACGCTGAAGCGTATGGACTCCCCAAACACACCACGCTGTTCTACCTCTTGGCCTCTGCACATGCTGTTCTCGACTATAACACTTCCCATGGCCCTTTCCCAACACAGCGAACCCTAACCCGTCTTCGGGGTCACCTCCTCTGGGCGGGCTCAGTTCTGCACTCCCACAGCCCTCGTTACCACTGTTATTCCTTATACCACCCATCAATGGAAACACATGCGAGCCACACACATCATCTTAAATCTTCTAGTATCTACACTGAAAAGAGGGATAAAAACAGATAAATGAAGCCATCTGCCCAGTCACACAGCCAGTGGATGGTGGAGCTGTGCTCTTAACCACGAGGCCAAGCTCAGAGCTGTCATGAGGACGGTTGCCTGGTGCTGAAATCCAAGTGGGACAAGGACAAGCAACTGCAAGGGCAGGCCCGTGTGTCCTTACCTGTGAGCCGCTTCGGGATCCCTGACGGGGAGATGGTCGCTGCTGGAGAGGTGCTGGAGAGGGAGGGGCTGCTCGCAGGGGACGTGACAGGAGCGGGAGGGGAGACTTGTGGAGAGCTGGGGGCAGGCTTCTGGAAGAAGAAAGGAAGAGCAATTACAGAGTGGGGGGAGGAGAGAGAGCACAGAGCTATCTCATTTCTCAACAGTTGAGAGCAGAGAGGGACTGTGTCTCTCCCCTGTGGCGGGCGGGCATGGCCATGGCATACTCAGCCCCTGATTGGGTGGGTGCCTTATGTGCCGCACCAGCTCAGCCAGGTTCGGTGACCCCGAGAGGGGGCGGTGAAGGATTAGAAAAGACAAGAGAAGAAAGCTGGGTCTCGGTGGGACGCTGCCCTCTCGGATGGAGACAGCGCCTCGGACTACAAGCCGTGCCTTTATTTTATAGCCAGTTTCCACGAGGCAAAGGGCGTGGCCAAGATGTTTACAGCGTTCTCCTGGGTTTCGATCCCACTCAACTACATGCACCTGAACTCTATCAAGCCCACATCACTCAGGCACGTGGGGCCACGTGTTCGGACCACAGGTTCAAGCTTACAGCTACAGCTGTTGGCTCTAATTGTGCTGGGAGGGCTCTGCCCTCCAAGCTGGGACTTGCACGTGGCCATGAGAGGACCGTGCCCTCTCATTAGTCCGAGGCTTGACCCTGTCCCAACACTGTAGCCGCTCCCCACACACCTCCTCTCCATGCCACCAGTCCCAGCCCCAGCTCAGGCCGCGGCCCCTCTCACGGGGGCCCTCACTCCACCCTCCATGTAGAGTTCATGGTCCCAGATTCTCCTGGACACCAATAACAACTCTTTTTGCTAAAGAGACAAAATCTTTGATTTTTAGGTAGGCATGTGGTGGCCCAACTAAAGACTACACTTCCCAGCCTCCCTTGCGGCTAGTGTGGCCATGCCCCAGTTCTACACAATGCAAGGTAAGGGGAACTAACACACACTTCCCTTGGTCCCAACAGCATTCATCAGTGGAAAGGGGAGTGCCCCCTTCCCCACGTGGATATTCCCTGGGACAAGAGCACCCGACTCAGAGACTCCCACGCCAATCCGGGACTTTTGTGCTCATGAGAGAGCGAGCCCTACCTTGCTTAAGCCTCTGTTATTTGTGTCTTGGTTTCAACTACTAACTCATCTTCATACGGGGCCCTGTGCCAGGGATTAAGCGACTGCCCCTCAGCTCCCATCCGCTCCCCCTTTTCCTGCTCTGTGTCAGGAATGTCAGCACAAGGTGCTAGGCAGTGGTTCTCAACCTTCTGGCCCTTTAAATACAGTTCCTCATGCTGTGACCCAACCATAAAATTATTTTCGTTGCTACTTCATCACTGTAATGTAGCTACTGTGATGAATCGTCATGTAAATATCTGATATGCAGGATGGTCTTAGGCGACCCCTGTGAAAAGGTCGTTCGACCGCCAAAGGGGTCGCGACCCACAGGTTGAGAACCGCTGTGCTAGGGGCTCCAACTTCCAGTTCCTCCAACACTTGCAGGGCCTGCTGCCTGGTGCCCCACGGAGACCGGCAGCCCCTGCCCAGTGCCCCTTCCTCAAAGGTCTGAGCCCCAGGCCCCAAGGCACCTCCTCCAAACCCAGAGGCCCAGCACCCACCAGCCAGCATCTGCACCACAAAGGTCTGAATGTCAGCTCCACAGCTCCCCACGGGCCCCACAGGCAGCCCAGGAGCCAAGGCCGCCTCTTCCCTCTCCTGCTCAAGCCCTTCCTCAGCGGCCTCGCAGCCTCAGGCCAAGTCCAAGCTCCTAAAGAGGTCCCCGTCCGAATCCCCGGGATCTGTGAGTGGAGGCACCGCAAAGGGCAATCCAGGCTGCAGGGGCAAGTAAGGTTGTTAACCAGCGGCCCTGAGAGAAGGACATGATCCTGGATCATCCGCTGGGCCCAATGCAATCACAGGAGCCAGAAAGTACAAGAGGGAGGCAGGAGAGAGAGAGAGGTGATTACAGAAGAAGGACAGCGTTGCCATGTTTGCACACAGAGAGAAGGGGGCCGTTAGAAGCTGGAAAGGGCAGGGAGATGATTCTCTCCTCGAATCCCAGAAACACAGCCCTGCCGACACCTTGACTTTAGCCCCGTGAGACCCGTGTCAGGCCCCGACCTCCAGAACTGCGACATAATACGTTTATGTGATTCTGTTGTTGTTCATCCTCATCCGAGGATATTTTTCCATTGACTTTTAGAGAGTGGAGTGAAGGGAGGGCTGTGGCCAAAGGTGAACTGAGTGGGGGGGTGAAAGGATTAAGGAAAGACCGATAACAGAATGAAAGCTGGGTCTCGGTGGGACGCTGCTCCCTGATGAGGAGACAGCGCCAGCGCCCACAAGCTGTGTCTTTATTTTTTAGCAGATGCCACGAGGCAAAGTAGGGGCGTGATCACGTTGTTTACAGCATTACGTGAGCTCCAACCTCACTCCACTACATGCACCTGAACTCTAGCACGAGGCACGTGGGGCCACGTGTTTGGACCACAGGTTCAAGCTTACAAGCACAGCCGTTGGCTATGATTGTGCTGGGAGGGCCCTGCCTCCAGCTGGGACTTGCACGTGGCAATGAGAGGACCCTGTCCTTTCATTAGTCCGAGGCTTGATCCTAGCCAAAACACTGTAGCCGCGCCCCATAAGGGAGGGAGGGGGAAAAAGAAAGAAACATGGATGTGAGAGAGATACATCAATTGGCTGCCTCCTGCACATGCCCCGACCAGGGCAGGGGATCAAACCTGCAACCCAGGCACGTGCCCTTGACCAGGAATTGAACCTGAGACCCTTCGGTGCTAGGGCTGACGCTCTAACCACTGAGCCACCAGCCAGGGCAGGCATTAAATTACTTTTCAACGGGAAGGAAATGAGCCAAAGTGTAGAGTAAACGACAAGCTGTGGTGATGGGAGAGACTACGTGTCTTTGGGCCCTTCCTTTCCTTTCAACCACCAGTGGACATTTTCTAGGCATTATTCTCAGATCCATATGTGAGCTGACGCCCATCCTCTTCACAGCCACCCTGAGAGGCAGGCGCCACCATGAGCTGCATGTCACAGGTGAGGCGCACCGAGGTCAGGGGGCCTCCCCAGGTCCCACGACTGAGGCGGACGTAGGACCGTGGAGACCTGCCCACCCGCCTGCTCCAGGGCACGACCACGAAACCCTCCCCGTCCTGGGGCATGCCTCCAGGGCCCCCTGAGCAGCGGCTGCACTCGGTCCCGAAGGCTAATGGGAATTGGGGTTGCTCCCCGTAAAAGTGGGCAGGCTGACGGGGACCTACCTGGCTTTTGGGGGACGTGATGGCTTCATCGTCCTCCTCCTCCTCCTCCCCTTCGCTGCACAGGACCCGGGCCGCCTTCCTGCCCGACCTCTTCACCGGAGAGTCGCTCTCAGGCACCACTCTGTTCCGCTCCTTCAGCGCCACCCTAGAAGGGGGGGAAATGGGGGTGTTCTGGCTGGCAGAGTGGGCCAGACAAACACTCCAGCTCCTTCACCATGTCTGTCTCCTTCCTTTCCTTTCAACCATCAATGAACATCTTCTAAGGGCCTCCTAAGCATATACTCTTTTTAAATTATTATTGATTTTCGAGAGAAACATCAATTTGTTGCTCCACTTATTATGCTTCTGACATGTGCCCTGACCAGGGATCAAACCAGCAACCCTGGTGTTTTGGGATGACGCTCTAACCAACTGAGCCTCCCGGCCAGGCCTAGGCATATACTCTGAATTATCCCTCTATCCATCATGGATCTCTGGAGGCCTCCTATGTGCCCACCCTGTGATGGGTGAATCTGAGAGCAAGTGGAGTCCCTACTTAGGGCAGAGACTGGCCTCAACATCCATTTGAAAACCCTCTTTCTTTTAATCATACAAGCCCCTGAGTTGTAGCTAGGCACACAGCCACTCGACTAGGGACTATACTTCCCAGCCTCCTCTGCTGCTACGCACGGTCACCTCGTAAGTTCTGACCAATAGAATGTAAGTGGCCATGCCTGACAAGCAACTTGCCCTCACCTTGTCTTAGCCCTGGAACTTGAACTTGCTGGCCTGCTTTGAAAATGCTCACGAGGGCATGGCTGGGCTGGGAGGGTGGGTCAGGAGGGAACCTGGGTCTCAAGGCAACCTACTAGCACAGAGCTGCCTACCAGCCCTACGCAGCCCCACTACGCCCCCAACACTGGCTCTGAGGAGCGCCCGGGCTGGTGCAGAACACAGGCAGAGACCGTCAAAACACAGCAGTGTGGAGGTCGCTTACGGTACGAGAACAAGGCTGATTCCTACAGGCGTCTGCGTTCCCAGAGCCCATGGTCTGGATGATGAATGGAGACAGCTCCCTAGCTAGGTCAGTGATGGCACACTCATTGTATGGACCCTCAAAAAGAATAAAGTGGGTTTATACAAAGCATCACGGAAGGGCTTTAAAGGACATTCTCATGAGGAAAAAAGCAGGTGATCAACACCAGGAGAGGAGCTGCTGTTGACTTTGCTCACTAAAGCCCAGTTTCCAGCCCTAACCGGTTTGGCTCAGTGGATAGAGCGACGGCCTGCGGACTGAAGGGTCCCAGGTTCGATTCCGGTCAAGGGCAGGTACCTTGGTTGCGGGCACATCCCCAGTGGGAGATGTGCAGGAGGCAGCTGATCGATGTTTCTCTCTCATCAATGTTTCTAGCTCTCTGTCTCTCTCCCTTCCTCTCTGTAAAAAATCAATAAAATATATTTTAAAAAAAAATCAATAAAATATATCTAAAAAAATAATAATAATAAAAAATAAAGCCCAGTATCCAGACAATGACTGACACATAGAAGATACTCAACAAATATTTACTGAAAAAATGAATATGTATGAATCCATGAGTGTAAAAAATATCTGAGTGTTTGCCAATATGTACCTGCAACTTGCATATAGAATAACCCAGCTTTCGCTATTTAAAAATAAGGGTGTAGAAGATGGCGGCATAGAAAAACACCGGTAATTGCTGCCTCCGACAACAACTTCAAAAATACAACTAAAAGGGAGAACGGTCATCATCCAGAACCACAGGAAGGCTGGCTGAGTGGAAACTCTACAACTAGAAGGAAAGAGAAGAGCACACAGACTCAGAGGAACTACGAAAGTGAAGTGCAGAGGTACGGAGGCTCCGGCGCGCGCGGAAAGGGGCGGGCACCTGAGGACGCGGCTGTCTTTTTGAATCGGGAGGGAGTCACAAGCTCCCGACTGCTCTGAACTCCGGTTCCGGGAAATCTCTGGGGTCCCAGGACTCATACGGGGAGAAACTGGACAGTCTGGCAGCAGGCAGAACTCGGAGCTTGAGGACGGCTTTCCCTCAGAGGTGCTGGCAGCAATTACCAGGACACTGAGACGCGCGCGGCCCCTTAGGGCAGGGCTGAGAATCAGCCATAGCCGCTTGCTCCGCCCTGTTGATTCCGAGACCCCCGCCCCTTCCAGGCTGCTGCAAAGCCTTTTGCATATGAATGCCCGGGTCCTTTGCAAACTGACAATTACCTAACAAATTGCAGCTGGGCCAGACAGACCCAGAACTTCCAAGAGAAGGCCCAAGGCCCCACAGCAACTTGCATTGCTTCTCAGCTGGGCCTCATCTGGGCACCCCCAAACCCCCAAACCCCCAAAAAAGGAAGGGGAATCTGCATATCTCTTCGTAGCTCCTGCTGGGTAACCTCAGGAAGAGGCTTAATTAGCACCTCCTTAGATCCAAGAGCCAGTGTATCCAGTGGTCAGAGTGGGACCACCCAGATTATAACTCCTCAAATTCATAAGGAACACACTCAGGGGGCAGACTCAGTGAGCACCAAAGCCCCACTGAAGCAAGTCTTGCCCCAGAAGGGTGTCTTCAGGACAGAAGTTCTCCCACTGCAGACAGAGCTGATTCTCACTGCCAATTGGCCTGGAGGTCAATTCCTCCCAGTGACACCTAAAACAACCAAGGCATAACTACAACAAGACTGTGCACAAAGCCCACAAGGGGGTGCACCAAGAGTGTCCACCTCAGGTAACTGGGGAGGCTGAGCCACTGGGCCCTGTAGGACACCTAGCACACAAAACCACTCTACCAACACAGGGAAGCAGACAAAATGCGAAGACAAAGAAACAGGTCACAAATGACAGAAATGGAGGAAAGCAAACGACTGGATATAGAGTTCAAAACCACGGTTCTAAGATTTTTCAAGAATTTTATGGAAACCGCCGATAAAAGTAGTGAGATCCTCGATAAATGTAGTGAGATCCTCAATAAATCTAATGAGACCCTCGATGTTGTGATAAAGGACCAACTAGAAATTAAGCATACACTGACTGAAATAAAGAATATTATACAGACTCCCAACAGC